TCCTGGCTGCCCGGCACCCCTGCCCTGCTCCTGCGCCAGGCGGCCCGAAACCCAGTTCCGTATCCTGACCCGATGTTGCAAGTCTGCATCCCCGCAGCCGACCCGACCCCACCTACACCTCGCAGCCCGGCATCCTGGCTTTACCGCCCACCCTGCCCAGGGTCCTCTGCAGCCTCCCCAACGGCTTCCCGGCCCGCAGCCGGAGCTGCGCGGGGTCGTCACCAGCCTCCCGGCCCTGGGGAATTTGTGATTTGCCCCGCTGCTGGCGTCCCGGAGCCCAAGCGACTCCTCCACGGACAGCCCCGCTGGAAGGGCCGGTCAATTTAACACATTTCCCGAGCAGCTGTTCCCTGACAGATTCCATATGAAAGTGTTTCCTTAGCGCCCGATCCAGGACAGTTGGACTTCGTTCCCTCTGGGAGGTTTCGGGACCCTCACCCCAGCTCCCTTGTCACTAACTCCCTGTGTCCGGGCCCCTCTCGACATGAACTGCAAGAGCTCTTCTTTAGCAACCTGGAAAACATTCTAGTTGATTTCCTGATTTTGAAAAGCAAGTGATTATCCTTATTGGAATTTAAAAAAAATCAGTGGATGTTAAGTTTGTGCCTCTCTTAATTTTATTTATTGTGGACTATTAAAGAAGCGATGTTCGCCGGGAGAAAAGTCTCTCGCTCTCTCCCTGGACTGTTTTCATCGAAACAGTTATGTGGAAGGAATGTCTATATTCCTGAGTCATTTGTCTGTATTGAGCTGGCTGTGAGAAGTGTGGCCACAAATGTATCTCACATAAGAATATTTACATATGGAAAGTTATATTATTTGAGTTTGTAAACAAATATACCTCTTCAAGTGTAGCTTTGGGGACATTTTCAAAGAGTCTGAGTGTTAATAAACATGAATGCAGGCTTTCTGATGTGAAAGGTAACTTGGTTCATTTTCTTAGATCTAATACTCCTAGTAAAAATAAAAGCAATTACAAAAACTTTGATATGTTTATCTTCCATCCATTGGTTAAAGCCTCAGCACAAAGTTAACAGGTAATTTGGAAAGTTCCATCAAAGCAACCTGAAACATTTGTAGGAAAAGAACACAATTAAAACTTAATATATTAGTGTTTCTAGGATATATGTAAATAGAGGCTATACATATCTGTCATACTATACTACTCTTCAGATTAAAATGTTCACAGTTGGCAAACTTGAGATGGAAATCATACTTTTAAGAAGTATTTGCCTTGTTTTCTCTTGAATGCTGAAGTTATATTTTGTTCTTCTTAAAACATTTCACTTATTGCTACTTTTAGGAGAAATAATTAAGATCTTTATGTTTCCAGTGAAATAACTCTTAGGTATTAATGAATTATATTAGTGATTGCTTTTATTTTATTATGCTACAAAAGAGACTAAAATACACTTTCCAAAGTTATATGAATTTAGGAACATGGTTTTACATTGTAATCACTTTAGTCCTGATATTGTGAGAGGGGAATAAGCATAAAATTTTAATCCTTTAAGAAAATCTGTTTTTAAGTTTATTGAGCAGAATGACCAGAAAGAGCTCCCAAACTGAGGTGTTAAATACTATTCACAAATAGCTCCAAAATGACCACTTTAGAAGTCTGGTAAGGGATCAAGACACTCACCAGCTACTTTTTTTGGCCATGATTTCTAGGTCTGATCTCAAATTCCATCTACTGAGCTGGAGGGAAAGATGACCATTTTAAAGGTAATCAGAGAAGGTTCAGACAATTGATGTGATTCACACCAAATAGATTTTCCTGGCTCTTTGTATATTTAGGAATAGTGGTGTTGATAGAGTTATGAGACATCTGCAGTGTCTGATCACGGATTCTACTGGCCTAAGGGAAACCTACTTAAAAAAAAACACACCAAGGTTTTGAAATGATATGCTAATAAATGCTCATGAAGTTCTAATGAGGTTGTTTTATTAAATAGTAAATGTTTTCCGGAAACAGGGTATTTCAAAATACAGTTTTGGTAAAAAAAAAAAATTGATAGTAAAGCTCAGTTAACAGCCTGCAGACAGGTATACAAGTTCCAATAAAATTCAGGACGCCGAGTCCCCCCAGCTAGTGAATTATTTAAAATAAACATGTAGTGTGGTAGTTAGTTTTTAAAACGGTCCCCCTCAAACTGGTTATTTAAGGTACAGTCATTTATGACAAATATATTTCTGGAGCTGATTTTCACCTCTCAAATATCTGCAGAAAACTGTGGTTTGAGTATCTAGCGATTCTGAACGAGTTGGTTCTCACAGTTGACCCAAACCAAGGCCAACAGTTTATTTACCTCCATATCTGTGCGTACTTATAGCAAACAAGGAAAAATGAGGTTTATGCAAGGCCAGATAATTAATGTAGTATGAGTTACAGAAAATGCTTAATCGCTTTAATTTTTATTGATGTAAATAACAAACACCTAAACAATTTCTCTTTCAGAAGAAATCTCCTTTCCTTGCCTCGGGCAGCCTTCTCCCCAGTCCTCTAATAACCAGTTCCTTTAATTCGAGAAACTAATTTGCAACCAACCTGTGAGTGCCTTCACCTTCAGGGCAGAAGAAACACCAACTTTTAATGCATTTTTGCAAATAAATCATTGCATTTTAATCACACACGACTCTATGCAGACACACTCCCATGATTTATTATTGTTGGGCGAGTTTCCTCCTCCCCCAGCTAGAGATAACCAATTTTGCTACCTGTGTCTTAAACCTAACTTCCTATGATGCAGACTTGTTTACTGATTTTCCGTGACGATAACGACGATTACAAAGGCAATTACACGCTTCAGTCCCCACCTTTATTGTTTTTCGGTTATAAGGCAATCAAATAATCAAACAAGCCAGCAAAGCCAACACCAAACAAAAAATTGGCGGCGTGACGATCCATTCCCTCGGCACTCCTAGCGCCTGGTAACCTCCATCGATGCATTCGGAAGCTCGGCTGCCGCTGCCTGGCGCTGGAACCAGGAAGGCGGTGAGCTTAAACTGAAGCAAGTTCGGAGGGCGCCGGCGGCTCGCCGATTTGAAGAGACATTTCCAGGTTTGCGGCGCTTGCAAGTCCACGGGAGGTGTGATCCCGAAGACTGGGAGCCAGGTGATGCCCTCGTCCGGGGCCCGGGAGGAGGCGCCCGCGGCGGCGGGGTTCC